TGGGGAAGCGTATTGACGCACGTTGGAAACGAGAGCCAAATATTCTATTTTGCTCGCCAGGAGCGCTGCTCCAAACTTGGGAGCTACGGGTCCATAGGCGACGTGCGCGGCCGAAAGCGTCGCTGTGGTCGGTCTTCCACGATTGGTTGAATGCTGACTATGACGTCAGCAAAGGTTTTTCATGGACGGGAATAAAAGTAATGTAAGAACTTGAATGTTGACGGTGCGTGCAGCGTTGGTTTCAAAGCGCAATGATTTCAGGCTTCCACCATGCTATTTACAAACACCATCGAACTTGTTGTTCGCAAGGTAATGACGTCATGAGAGGGAACCATAGAAGGGCGCCACCAAAACATCTCGCCGCTATATTTCGTCTCACCTTAGCATGGACTAACCGCGAATGCTGTGCTAGCGCGAGCGGCTGGCCTTGACTGCCTTGACTGGAGCACTCGCTGCTCCAGCGCTCGTTCAGCCGCCGAGGCTTCATTCGAAGCAACTAGCTCGCGCTTTTAGCACGCGCGGTCAACAATAGTCCATACCAAGGTGAGACGAAGTATAGTAGCAAAGTTCCTTGGCTATGGTGCCAACCACTGATCTCTATTATATTAGACTAAATCGCAGATCGGGATCCCGTCGGTGTCGCCACCCGCGGCCATTGCTTGACACCAGGCAATACGCGCAAGTCTATGGGAGAAACGCACAAAAGTAAGCATATTGAAGCATGTACGCTGTGCTCGGAGGCGAGTATTTTATGGTGTGCTGCGATCCTTATGTCGGGTGTTTGGAGATCGAATCGGTATTTGTCAAACGTCCGGTCGCCGAATAAAAAAATCAAAAGTTCTGGAGCACCCATGGCTGAGCTGGCAAGTTCGCACTCGTAGTGGAGTAAACAAAGGAACTTGCCGTCAATAAGACCGTCCTTAGGGAAGCCCAGAAGTTGGTGAATGACAAAGAAGTTCCATCTCGACAGCTGCTTTCCGGGAGTGAGCGAATTCCGCGTAGCAAAGCCTTCGAACTTGTCGTCTGCTAAACCCAACTCAACGAAACCACCACCGACTCCGCGGTAGCTCTAGGTAACTCTCGCCTCATTGAGCTGCACTACAGCGGAGTTACTCTCGACCACAAAATATTTATTTATAAGAACTGCGAGGGGCTGTCAGTTTTAATCATTGTACGCAAGCTATATGACGGGCTTATCGAAAAGCATCCAAAAAGTTTCAGTGCCGACAACAGCTTAAAAACAGGGGAAAGCGTCACTTTTTCTCGTTCTTCCCATAGAGTCCCATGCATTGGCTGGTGTCAATCAATTGTCGCCGGTGGCGACACTCGGCCCCAGCTGCCGAGGCCGCGGTCCGCGATCCAAGAACAGTGATGCCAACGCTACAGGTGCCCGTGCAAACGCGCAGCTTTGAGCGCCGCTGAAACGTTGTTCACGTGCGCTCTTCACTTCTTCCGAAATGCCCCTCACCTGAGCACGCTCGCTCACCTGGCGCGCGAACAGTATATGGGAAATAAAAATAACAATAACAGAAAAGTCGGGAAAAAATTGTTAGTGTTTTGATGAAATACTTGAGTGTGGCGCACTACGTTTTTTTTGCACTTTATTAGCGCTGGTGACCAGATGCATAAAGATGATTATATACCGTTTCTATGTTTACAAAATTACGGCCCCAACAGCTATGATTTTTATCGTTTCGAAAAGTGAGTAAAACCATAGCCTCCTCTATGCGAGAAGAGCCTGGCACGTCGCGAAAAAAAGTGGCCGCCGAAAGTAGGAGAGGAGGGGCGGGGAATCGGGAGTGTAGGGAAGCTTGTCTGCTAGCGCCACACAAGAGGGAGCGGTCAAACGCAGAAACAGTCTTGTTTTTCTTTTCCTCTTTTTTTGGGGGGGAATCGTGGAGAAGAGAAACTCAACGTCAACCCTTTCCCTTCGCCGCCCCTGCGGCCCTGCGTCCGCATGTCCGTATCTCCGCAACGGTCCCGGTCGTCGCTTTCGTTTGCGCTGAACGTCTTTTGTCCGAAAGCGTTCGTCTTCGCGGCGCGCGCACGTACCTTCGTTTCCCGTCGTAGTTGGCCGCAGTGCTCGCTCGAACACGCCGAAATTTCATCCTGTAGTGCTGTTACTTGTATCCTCGGCACCTGGGCGTCGAAACTACTTAAGGCCCGTTCACACTCTTGCGACCGAGTAAGACCGAGAGAGACCAGACAGGTTTTTAAGCCTCTTGCGATCTCTTAGGACCAGCTCCGCTGCAGTGCATCCGGTCCTAAGAAGTCGCAAAAGGCTTAAAAACCGGTCTGATCTCTATCGGTCTTACTCGGTCGCAAGAGTGTGAATGGGCCTTTAGTCAAAACTGTTTGGTTCTTCCGCGGCACGACACGATGGTCCGACAACGGCGCACTCCGCTGGCACACCGACAACTCTGCCGACGCCACCGGCATGGTGCATTGTTACCAGCGCCCTTTCGAATCGTCGCAGCCGTTTCTCCCGGAGTACGAAAACAACGGTGACGAAAACACGAAAACCAACGTGGTTCGGGGAGTGGCCGCTCATGACCCAAGCGCTCGCAGACTATCTCTGCCCTTTCTGCTCTGCGCTACCATATGGGTCACCGCTTCGCGCGCCCCTCCTCTCCTTTTTCTGCGGCCGCGCGCCCTATGGCTCCGCCGTTGATGTGCCAGGCTTTCTTCGTATAGACCCTTTCAGGCAACATTTCATGGGCGCCGCCATCTTGACGTCACGTGACCGTGCTGCCATAGCCGCCCTTCACAGTCTCGCCGTTCCTCCGCGTTGTGGGCTGCACCGGCCGCTACCGGAGCTTTGTTTTCGTGTTCTCTTACGGTCCGCGTTGAAATCGTGTTTTCTTTGGGTTTTTCTCGATATTTCGGGCTTTCATTTAATCATCTGATATCTATATTTCGACATAGCTCTTGTATCTTCTTATTTATGAAATTGAATCGGACAGCGAATGGATCGACGATACAAGATTATGGCTTCAGAGACCATGTAAGTTCATCCCATTCTGACGTTTATATAGGTTATATAGGGCACTCGCTTATATAGGGCAGTCAACACCATTCCGACATATGTAAATTGCAATTGACCCAGTAAGGCTGTCACAGTCGTGCTTCTCGCTGCATGTGCGCGCTCGTTTCCGTAAAGCCGACCCGCATGTAAGCGATTTTGCGTGCGACGAGGCGGACGACGGCGACAACGACGAGAGTCAGCGACGAAGATTTCTCATTGTCGCCTGTTGCATCGCTCGGTTTTTTGGATTTCTAGAAAACGTCGCTCACCGTCTTGGTCGCTTGCTCCCGTCGCTTCCATGCGGTTTGCCTCGTCGCGCGACTGCCCGAGCGACAGCGAAGCGGGTCACCGTCGCTTGTCTCGTTGCTCGCCGAATCGCTTGCATGCGGTTTACACTTAGTATCGAGGCGCCAATGGTTCCATGCTGTGTGCATAGAAATTAATTGAGTATAAACCACATGTAAGCGATTTGGTGAGCGACCAGATAAGCGAGTGCGACCCGCTTCGCTGTCGCTCAGTCAGTCGCGCGACGAGGCAAACCGCATGGAAGCGACGGAGCAAGCGACCAAGACGGTGAGCGACGTTTTCTCGGAAATCCCAAAACCGAGCGATGCGACGGGCGATGGTGAGAAATATCCGTCGCTCGTCTCGTCGCACGCTAAATCGCTTACATGCGGGTCGGCTTTAGGGAAACGAGCGCGCACATGCAGCGAGAAGCACGACTGTGATAGCCTTACTGCGTCAGTTGCAATTTACATATGTCGCAATAGTGTTGACTGCCCTTTATTAGCGACAAAAACGTAAGAATGAAATGAACTTACATGGTCATTGAAGCCTCATAATCTTGTATCGTCGACCCATTCGCTGTCCGATTCCATTCCATAAATAAGAAAATACAAGAGCTATCTCGAAATATAAATATCATCAAATGATTAAATGAAAGTCCTAAATATCGAAAAGACCTAAATAAAATACAAGATTTCAACGCGCAACGTAAAAGAACACGGAAACGAGGCTCCGGTAGTGGCCTGTGCAGCACACAACGCGGAGCAACGGCGAGGAACTGAAGGTCGGCTATGGCGGCCCGGAAAGCGCGCGAAGGGCGCGCCGACTGGTGGCAGCTCGAGTAACTGACTCGCTGAAAGCGTCTATAGAGGAGGCTATGGTAAAGCTCATGCCCTACTCACGAACGCAGAGGATCAGCTCGCCAGAGCTTCTTGTTTACGAAATGCTGGGCTTGTTGTATTTTGTGTGTGTGTTGCTTTCAGAGTCTGCATGCGCATTCGTTCCGTCTTGTGCTAGTGTTTCTCGGAACAAACGGTCTCCCCTCGAGTGCTCCCGAAATTTATGACCCAGAGGGGACATTCCACCGAGCCACCCGCGAACGCGAACGGGCGACCACGGACCCCTGTGTAAACAGCGCCAGCTGCGCCTCGGAGGGGCGGCTTCTGGTCACTCGACACCGTGTACCCTCTTTCCCCTTCTCGCACGTCTTTCTTCCCGTTAGTTGTTCTGAAATAAACAGTTCTTCTTGAGAGTTGAAAAGGTTCGCTTCGTGTCTGTCTCTCTGGAACAGCGGCTGGCTGATTCCGAACCACCGTGTAATGAAGTTAGCCGGCATTTAGTAACATCTCTTTACTAACACAACATTATTGGTGCCGAAACCCGGGAAGAGAAAGTGCCAGAGAAGATGGATACATCGAAAGCAGCCCTCACCGACCGTGCAAAGCGAAAGCAGACCGTGGTGCGAGCGGCGACGACCAAGCTTATCAACGATGTCGCAGCCATGGCGGATCCAACAACTGTCGGTGAGCTCCAAACCAAATTTGACCTTCTCGTATTGAAAGAGGACACTCTCAAGGAACTCGATAGCGAAATTGAGCAAGGAATTGATGACGAGGCGTTGGAAGAGGAGATTACATGCAGCGAAAGCTACAAGGAGAGGATCAGCGTAGCAAAGACTAAACTGAAAGGCATGCTCCTAGATCAGGCCCGTCCAAGTAACAGAGCCTTATCAAGTTCACTAACCAACGCGGACACCAGAACGAGGGTGACAGTCGAAGAGACCAACCCAGCAGTGAAGCTCCCCAAATTGGAGATATCAAAATTTGGAGGTGAACTACGGGAATGGCAGGGATTCTGGAGTCAGTTCGATTCAACTATCAACGCCAACTTGACACTGTCGGAGGTCGACAAATTCAAGTACCTGAACAGCTACCTCACGGGAAAGGCAGCCGTGGCTGTGGCAGGGCTTGACCTGACAGCGGAAAACTACAAAGTAGCCCTCGAGCTTCTCACCCGTAGATTCGGACAAAAGGATCTTATAATTGAAGATAACATGGCGAGGTTAATGGCTGTCCGACCTATTTATGACTCTAGAAACGTGAGCGGACTCAGAGCATTATTTGACCAAATTGAAACTGGGGTCCGCAGCCTCGAGGCCCTCGGCATCAACGACAGCACGTATGGAGTGCTGCTCCTTACTGTGCTGCGTAAAGCCATACCAGCCGACATGGGACTTGAGTACAGCCGGAAGATAACCGCGCAATCACCAAACCAAAAGAACGGTCTGCGGGATTTCTTGGATTTCCTGAAATGCGAAGTAGAAAGCCGCGAAAGAATGCAACCAGTAGACGCAAAGAAAGACCGGCAAACCGGCGAGCCTGCACAAGATGCAAAGAGAGACGGAAAGAGAGATTACAGGGCAAGACCTATCGCATCCGCAGCAGCCCTGAATGCCGTGACTGGCGGGGGCGACAGAAGATGCGTGTTTTGCGCCTCTAGTGGTCACGACTCGGACGGGTGCGCTGCGCAGATGTCAGTCTCAGAGAAAAGGGAAATTCTGAAACGCGAAAACAGATGCTTCCGCTGCGCAAAATATGGCCACAGATCTCGTGACTGCAGAACGTCAAAATGGCTAAAATGTGGACGATGCGCGGGGAGTCACTTGACGAGCATGTGTGACCCCGACCTGATGAGCACCCGCGGTTCCACGAGAGCGGACTCGGCAGTGACGGGTGTAAAAGAGATCCCCGGACAACAGGTGTTGCAGTCTTCTCTCGGAGTGAGAGACCGTAGCTTTAGAGGAGAGAAGACGCAGGTGCTCCTTCAGACCGCACAGGCATGGGCAGAGGGCCTGCAGAGGCGCACTCTCGTCAGACTCCTTCTCGACGGTGGCAGCCAGCGTACGTTCATCCAACGTGGCGTCTCCGAGAAGTTGCAGTTGAAGGTGCTGGGAGAGGAGGAGCTCCGGATCTTCACCTTCGGTGACAACACAGCAGCGAAGCACACGAAGTGTCGACGGGTGGAGTTCTGGTTGAGAAGCCAGTACGACAGACAGGAGGTCCGCGTGGAGGCTCTGGAGGTTCCCTGCATCTGCGCGGATATCATGACAGCTCCATCGGAATCTTCAGTGGCCCACATGATGAACGAGGGAATGAACATCGCCGACGCTTCGAGAGGGGCCCACACTGAGGATGGAATTAGCCTCTTGATTGGAGCCGACTACTACTGGGCCATCGTCACGGGATCCGTTAAGCGTCTGAGCCCTACATTGATGGCAGTAGACACGACCTTCGGATGGACCCTGCAAGGCCAGGCGGGAACAACCAGATCAACGGCGATATGTTCCTCAGCGGCAAACGTGATGAGGGTGATCGTGACAAACGAAACAGACAAAGATATATCCGCTCAGCTCCGGTCGTTCTGGGAACTCGAGCACCTCGGCATCAAAGACACCCAAGCCACGACATGCCAACAAGACGCCGTACTTCAGCACCACAAAGAAACCACCAAGTACGAAGACGGTCGCTATCAAGTGGCGCTCCCGTGGAAGCCAGCGGCCGAGAAGCTAACAGACAACTTAGAATCGGCGACGAGGCGTCTCCGATCGCAGACCAACCGTCTCCAAAAGAACGAGCAGTTGATAAAAGAATACGATGCCTGCATCCGAGATTACGTAGCGAAGGGCTACGCCGAACCAGTCGAGGAAAGCAACCCGCCAAAGGGTCCGGTTTACTACATGCCCCACCAAGCAGTCGTACGGCACGAAAGTCAGACTACTAAGATGAGAGTGGTATTCGACGCATCGTCCAGCCTGGCAGGTCGGCTCTCGCTAAACGACGTTCTAGAGAGCGGACCCAATTTGAACCCAGAATTGATCGACCTGCTGCTTAGGTTCCGTACTCACAACATCGCCGCGGTCGCCGACATTGAAAAGGCGTTTCTTCAGGTGTCACTGACGAAAGAGGACCGAGATGCCGTGCGCTTTCTTTGGTATGAGAAAATTCCGAAGAACGGAGAAGAATGTCCCTCAATCGTAGCGTACAGGATGACGCGCATACCATTCGGCGTCACGTCCAGCCCATTTTTATTGGCCGCGACATTGCAATACCACCTGGAGAGCGTACAGGAGCAGTACCCGACGACGGCGGCGATCCTGAGAAACAACCTATACGTGGATGACCTGGTCACCGGAGCAGATAGCCTGCAAGAGGTGAGAGTGCTCTGCGAAGAAGCGACTGAACTGCTGGATCAGGCTGGGATGAAGCTCCACAAGTGGATGTCAAGCAGCCTCGAGCTGGCAGAGACACTGCGGGGAGACGGGACCAAACGAGTCTACGCCGACCTCGGGCGCACGACAGCTGGAAAGGTCCTAGGAGTCGGTTGGAATCCGGAAACAGATAGCTTCGAGTACCGGATAGACTCTCTGATCGATTTCATCTCCTCAAGAACTGACAGCAAGAGGTTCGTGCTTCAGGTGTCGGCAAGGATCTTTGACCCCTTTGGATTTCTCGCGCCCATCACAACAAGTGTTAAGATCATGTTTCAAAGGCTGTGGGAGCTCGGGGTCGACTGGGACGACCCCTTACCTGAGGCCCTGACAGCCGAATGGGACAACTGGTGCAAAGAACTTCCCACAGTCGGAAAATTGTCCGTCCCAAGGACGATCATGAAAAACTTCAGAAGCAACAAGACCAACAAGACGCTGCATGTCTTCTGCGATGCAAGCCCCAAGGCATACGGCGCCGTTGCGTACGTCACCACAAAGACTGCAGCACGAGAGGTGCACGTGACTTTGATTATGGCCAAGGCAAGAGTGGCACCCCTTAAGCGCCTCTCCCTACCGAGACTGGAGTTAATGGGAGCCCTGATTGGGGCGCGGTTGAAGTGCTACCTCACAAAGACGTTGCGGCTGGAGGACATACCCGCCTGCCTCTGGACGGACTCAACGGTGGCGCTGCATTGGATCAAGGGGTCGGCAGACAAATGGAAGCCGTTTGTGGCAAATCGAGTGGAGGAGGTGCAGCGGCTGACCGACCCACAGGACTGGAATCACTGCCCTGGAGCCGAGAATCCAGCGGATCTTCTAACCCGAGGCGTTCTACCCTCAAAACTGGTAGAGAGCGCGCTCTGGTGGAACGGACCCAAGTGGCTGCAAAATCCGGAGTCGGAGTGGCCTACCATGAACGAGCAAATGCCCAGGGCCACTGAATATCAAGAGGAAAAAAAACTACTGGCTGTAATGATGGTGGCAGCACCTTCCACGACACCTCTCCTGCAACTGGAAGAACATAGCCGGTTAATCAAAGTGCTACGATTGACTGCTTGGATCCGGCGCTTTGTGCACAACTGCAAAAACAGGGAGGCAAGAAGGGAAGGCCAGTTAACAGCCGAGGAGTTGACAGACGCTGAAAGATACTGGTTGGCCTGCACACAGAAGGAGGCGTATGGAGACGATATCACAGCACTGCGCGCCGGAAAAGAACTGAAAGAAAACTCCGCCGTTTCACGTTTCGGGCCGTACCTCGATGACGACGGTCTGCTTAGGGTGGGAGGAAGACTGCAATTCAGTGACAACAATGACGAGACGAAGCATCCTATTATTCTGCCCTCCGACCATGCGTTCACCGCCCTTCTCATATCAAGGGAACACATTCGACTGTTGCACGCAGGAGTCCGAGACACGCTGGCACAGCTGAGAGAGGTGTACTGGATTGTTAAAGGACGACAAGCCGTGAAGAAAACGGTTCACCGGTGCTTGGTTTGCCGCAAACAAAGTTGCAGGCCCGCATCGGAACCTATGGCTCCTCTGCCAGCAGACAGGGTGAAAAGGAGTGAGCCGTTCGCTATCACAGGCGTGGACTTCGCGGGACCCCTGTTCAGCAGAGAAGTCAACGGCTCAAAGAAGACTTACGTAGCCCTGTTCACCTGCGCCGCCACCCGTGCTGTTCATCTTGAATTGGTGAGCGACCTCTCCGCTGCTGCGTTCCTGTTAGCATTTAAGCGGTTCGTTGCACGCAGAGGAATCAGCGCCGTGGTGTACTCCGATAATGCGCTGACATTCAAGCGAGCGGAGAAGGATCTCAAGGAGATGTTCCGCGCTATGAAATCGCCCGAGGTGCAGTCGTATTTCGCGAACCATGGCATTCGTTGGAAATACATCGTCGAAAGAGCAGCGTGGTGGGGAGGATTTTGGGAGCGTCTCGTACGATCAGTGAAGGTGTGCTTGCGCAAAGTGCTGAGTCGCAGCAGTTTGACCTTCGAGGAACTCTCCACCGTCCTCGCCGAGATAGAGGCCGTGCTCAACTCGCGGCCATTGACTGTCCTGTACCCCGAGGCAGGTGAGCCAGAGCCACTATCACCTGCTCACTTCCTCGTGGGGCGAAAGCTCACGTGTCTTCCGCCGCATCGCCTATCAGCAGAGACCCCTACAGGTGCAGCGAGTCGGACCAGGCTGGTGCGGCGTTGGAGGTACCGCAGCGCCATCGTGGAGGGGTTCTGGCGAAGGTGGCGCCGTGAATATTTGTTGGAGCTGAGATCGGCACACCTCGTCAGACCCACCCCCTCAAGCGGCCTCAACGTGGGTGACATGTGCCTGCTGAACGAGGACAGTCTCCCGCGACACATGTGGAAGACCTGCCGTGTTAAAGAGACATTCAGTGGGAGAGATGGCAGGGTGCGGTCCTGCAGACTTGTGCTACCCGGGGGAGGCGAACTCAGGCGTCCGATTCAGTTGTTATACCCCCTAGAAGTTGGTAACGATGAGCTACCGCAATAGCTCATCCGGGGGAGATTGTTGTATTTTGTGTGTGTGTTGCTTTCAGAGTCTGCATGCGCATTCGTTCCGTCTTGTGCTAGTGTTTCTCGGAACAAACGGTCTCCCCTCGAGTGCTCCCGAAATTTATGACCCAGAGGGGACATTCCACCGAGCCACCCGCGAACGCGAACGGGCGACCACGGACCCCTGTGTAAACAGCGCCAGCTGCGCCTCGGAGGGGCGGCTTCTGGTCACTCGACACCGTGTACCCTCTTTCCCCTTCTCGCACGTCTTTCTTCCCGTTAGTTGTTCTGAAATAAACAGTTCTTCTTGAGAGTTGAAAAGGTTCGCTTCGTGTCTGTCTCTCTGGAACAGCGGCTGGCTGATTCCGAACCACCGTGTAATGAAGTTAGCCGGCATTTAGTAACATCTCTTTACTAACACAACAGGGCTGTGAAGATCGCACCGCTCAGCATGCGATTTTCACAGCTCGGCTCGAACCTGTTCGTCGATTCTGAAAGCGAGCAAAGCACGCGCCGTACGCAGAAGCGCTGAAAATGGAACCTCGGTCAAAAGCTATTTTCTGCCTACAACTGTGACTCGTGCATAATCTCACACTTCTGATTACAAGTTCGCATCTAAAATCGAGCAAAAACTAACAGCAAACGCCGAAAAAGCCAATACATGATGGCAAGGCGTGAGTTGCGTGAGAGACTTCGTCTGCACACAAATGGCGCACTTGCAAACGCTGAAAACCCGAGTGTACTATCAACACACAACATTACCAAATAAGGCGTTCACAGAATACACTTGAATGGTCGGAATGGCGTTGATACAATCGGAACCACTCGAAAATCAGAGCCATTTTTTTTTACTATATTGCAAGTACCCCGCGCCGGCCATTGACCCCTGCCGTTAGTGGAGGGCGCCGGGCGAACAAAATCTAGCTCGCCCAGATCGGCGGCGAATAGCCCGAGGCCCGAGCCCACCCCCGGGGCCCGACCTGCTTGCACAGCTGCGTGCATGCAACTCGCTTGTTCGGGAAAACTTCTGCGCCGTCTATGAGGTAAAGGCTACAAATAAATTGCGGGTGCGATTTATTAAGACGTAATCGGTATATGTCCCATTATGAGAAAAGGTGTCGGCGTTTCGCCCAAAAGAGGGCCATAAAAATACGTAATTAAGCACGCGCCGCTCAAGGTCAAAGAGGAAGCACCAGAGGAATAAAACACACACAAAAAAAAAAACACAGCAATGCATGCACGTGCTTCGTCATAAAAGCATTGTGGCCGGCGGAGGCGTCTTGTCTGCGAACTGGGGAAGGGTGATGTTACCGCCAGAGTTCAGTGTGCAAAAAACGAAAAAAAAAAAAAAAAAAGACGTAGCGCGCTGCTTGTAGGATTGCGCCGCGTGTAGGAATGCTTTCGCATTCCTACACGTAAGCAGTCTTAAGTGTATTCGTCGTGTTTTTTTTTGTAGCCTTTAGGATGAAGTCCTTAATTTGTAGTCACAATGCAGCCCTTTATTTTCATTACTTCATTGCGTCTTTTGCTGTCTACGAGCCGTCTGCATTGGCGATTATAACAAGTTCTACTACCCTAAGAAAACTTCTGAGGCATCTGAGTAGAGGAGAGTCAAGGTAACGCTCACTGTTGCACTCTGTACTTAGTCAGGTCACCTAAAGTTCGGGATACCACCAGCCCTTCCGGAACTAGAATGCAAAACTCTTTAGCGTATGACTTCAATGCTCAGTGAGTGTAATCTTGAAGTAGTCGGAAAAATAGTTGATTTACAATGACAAGCTCGATGGAAGGTTACCCGAATTCAAGCGTCACTCCGATTGACGAACTGCTCGACGTCAGCGATGAGGCCAATAACGCCAAACTGCTGCTGGGGGCGGCCCGCCCGTTACTTATGGGTTACTCTAACATTCTGGAATATGCCCAGATAACACAAAATAAATGTATGTCCTATTATTGTCTGGGCTCGATGTCATTCCACAGTGCTGATAGTTTCCAGTACTCAGTGTAGGAGAATATACAGGTAGAAAACGCGCTACAACCTAAGCTCAGAAAACCATTCATAAAGAGCAATGACAATATATACTATCTGCAAACCTCAGTACCCAACTCAGGCTTACTTTGGTACTAATGTTTGCCAGGGCTGCCGAATTAAATGCTATCGCATTGAAAATACACACGAAAGACCCATACTCGAGTAAGGACGTACGCTCATAGGCGAGTATAGAGAGATATGCAACAGAGTAAAGAATTGAATTGGTTGGAACTCTATCTCGCCAGCTGGTAAAGGCAAGAAAAAAGAAAGAAAAAAAGAAACATTAACTGTAGTATATTCGCATACAAGTTTGCAATTGCCTGGCCTCGAGGTTCTTGCTTAACTTAGATCCCAACCTTATTTCTCCTTTCAGACGGAACAGAACGAAACGAAGAATGTTTAGTAGCGTAGCTAGTCACAAGCCAACGAAAGAGCTGTTTCAGAAACAGAGGAACAGTTCTCGTACACCAAAACCATTACTTGGATTGTAATTTATTTACAGTAATTTGAATTACTGCAATCAAATTCACTTTCTGGGGTACAATAATATAATAATAATAATAATAATAATAATAATAATAATAATAATAATAATAATATATTTATTTCACACAAATTGGAATTCAAGTACTAGATACGGGCATATCAAAGCCTGCAGAGAGCTTGTATGATGACGCCCATAAAAAAATTCAAAAAACGATTATCATGATTCCACAATGTAAGACAGAAAGTCGAACTATAAAACACAAAAAAAGCATGAAGAAGAAAAAAAAAACGCATCAAGAAAAAGCGAAAAGCGCTAAAAGAAAAAAAAAGCACGGAAGAAGAAGAAAAAAACACTTAAAAAAAACACGAAAAGTGTTAAGCGATAACGAAGTAAAAGGGGAGAAAAAATAAACAAAAGGCAAAACCAAGTTAAAATTAACTTAGCTAATTACAGTTCAAGCTCGAAGCATGCAGACAGAGCAAAGAGATGCTTGATGAAATCGAAGTTGGTGCACTTGAGTTCTTTCTTCAGTTGTTTCAGTGATGTAATGTCAATGAATGTGTCAGGGAGGGCGTTGAACAAACACGGAACGTAGTAATCCCGAGTGCATTTACCGTACCTGGTCAAACAAACTGGCACTACAAAACGAGGAACGTGACGAAGTATTCGGGGAGACTGAAATGGTGTTTTAAACTCTTTTTTCCAAAAGCTACGGAGCACTACCGTTTGTATAAAAAGAGAACGCAAATTAGGCAATTGAAGATTTCGAAGAATATCACTGTTGCTGGAAAAATTCGAATTATATGCAACGCTTGTCAGGATTCCTTTCAATAAAGAATTAACTTTGTACTGCCAACGACCCGAACAGTTGCCAAACACCGTAACACCGTATCGAAGGATACTGTAAGCAAGAGCATGGACGATTATTATTCTGATACCGACTGGCATAAAGAATTTAGTATTATAAAGCATACAAGACACAATCCGTAATTTGCTACAAATATATGACATATGTGTGTTCCAAGACATATCAAAATCGAAATGTACACCCAAGTATTTTACCTGATCGACAGACTGGATTGAAACACAATTGCATTGAGCACAACTGGAAGGGTGAAGCAAAAACTGTACTTGAGCCTGGCGTCTTTTAAGAGGGTTGTGAAAACACATCAGCTTTGTTTTAGAGCGGTTTATGTCTAGGAGATTATCGCCGAACCAATTCATTATATGAGAGGCATTTATTTCGAGTGTGCGGAGTGAGTCAGAGAAATTCATATGACGTGACACAAGGAGAGTGTCATCGGCATATTGGTAAATTTTACACCCGTTGATAACCTGGGCCATGTCGTTCACAAAAATATTGAAAAGTAGAGGAGAAAGAACAGAACCCCGAGGCACTCCCGCCAGTAATAAAAGCGGAGAACTCTTAAAGTTTCCAATTAGGACAAGACCTTTTAGATAGAAAGTTTTCCAGTAAAGAATAAAACGGGCCACGAAAACCACGGCGATATAATTTTGCTAGAAGCAACTGATGACTGACAGTATCGAAAGCCTTGGACACATCAAGAAAAAGAGCACAACTTATTACTTTCGAATGTTGAATATATGTAATCAGAAAAATCATCAAGGGCCGGTTGCGTTCCTTTCCCAGTAATGAATCCGTACTGAGTAGATGAAAATATTTCGTTCTTATCTAAAAAACTGTTCATCGTCAGAAAGAGGTGTTTCTCCAGAATTTGTCCTAAAATAGGTAGAATCGAAATGGGGTGATAATTTGCAACATTGGATCGTTCTCCTCCTTTGAAAAGGGGCCACACAATAGCAGCCTTGAGCTCATCAGGTATGCTGCCAGACGTAATGAAGCCGTTCAGCATAGTGAGCAGAACGTTCTTAATATATGTGAAATTTCTCTGAAGATCATACGCTCGAATACCATCAATACCGGGAGATTTTCTGGCTTTGAAACTAAATAAAAGGGAGTGCAGATCCTTCTCGTTCAAGCAAGGAAGGAAAGCTGACGCCAAATATTCATTCTTTAGTGTGCATGAGTTCACAGCAGACGTTCTTTGCACGCCAGAGTATTTAGCAAAGAAGTCGTTAAAGTCGTCTGCTACTTCTGAGGTAAGTGACCCGAAATTTCGTTCGAGGGTTCGGTCAATAGAATTTCCAGAACCAGTTCCTCGGAATTGATTTATCAGTGACCATGTTTTTGCTGAACGAAATCTGAATTTTTCGAATTGTGATTTAATAAACTGTCTCTTTGCAGAACGAATGACAGCGTTTACTTTATTTCTTAACTGCTTGAATTCATTTTGTAAATCTTTGTTGTTTGGAGATCGGCGACATCGACTCCAGAGGACCTCTTTCTCTTTAATAATCTAGCCATTGATGATGAGGTCGCCGCTTTTTCAAAGTAACAGTTCTACTGGCAGCGGCAGTAAGCGAACGAAAAACTTGAACAAAACTTGAGTATGAGTCAGCGTTATTAACTGTACCTAAACAGGCTTGCCAGCCATGAGAGGAAACTGACTTGTCAAAAACAACATTGTCAATAATTTGGGCTTGTCTTGAACTTTCGCATTTAGAGTTTGACGCCATTGTGTGTGTTAGTTGACACCCCACGAAGTAGTGATCTGCTAATTTTTCCTGAATTACAGCAGATTCCACAGAGACACCTGGTGCTCGTATTAAAATATGGTCAGTGCAGGAAGTGACTAACTTTGTCCCTAAAATTTCTTCTCGGGTTGGAGCATCAACAACGCATTCTAAGCCAAAGTTCGACAAAATGTTAAGATACTCGCATACGATGGAATTGGCTGCGTTCATTGTGTCTATATTAAAGTCGCCCACCAAAGAAAGCTGCTGTATAGAAGGTAATGTGGAGAGAGTTGCCTGCAGCTCATTCAAAAACATTCGAACATTTTCTGAAGGAGGCCTGTAGAAACATAACAGAGCAAGTGAGAAGGTGGAGTTGTCAAGTTTGATAGAAACATTTTCGACGTGATAAAAATCTAGATTGAGGGGAGAAACTTGCCACATTTGATGTACAAAAACCGCTATGCCTCCGCCACTACGGTTTGATCGCGTGAAACAAAAGTAGTTGTAGTCTTTGAGAGTGGATTGATAAAGCATAGAGTCCGAGACATTAATTTCCGTAAGTTTAAATGCATTGACATGAAGCATAATATTTTGTACCATTATAAGAAAATGATTCCAATATTTTCGAAGGCTCCGGATATTAACATGCAAACATGTAAAAGTCGCACCTTTTGGTTTACCTAGCAATGTTTGAAAGACGAAAAATTATTATATTGGGAAAAGGTGGCTCTCATAGCTTAAACGATTTTTGCAATATCTCCTACGGAGTTGATCCGTAGGAGAGGCGAGCCTTCACTCTTTCTTGCATAGATGTTTGCATGTTTTACCCAGATATACTTGTAATTACTTTCTTTTCCCTTGTTCCTCGCCATCCAGAAAAGCTCACGGTTGGAACGAGTGAGATTGTCATTAAAGAATAGCTTGGGCTGACTGCCGACGTTGATAAGCTCTCTTAGTCGTCCACGGCATCTCATCCATTGCTTCTTGAGGGCAACGAACGCAAACCTGACCAGTATCAATGGAGCAGTGTTTGGTTTGTCTGCTTTCTTCGGAGGTAGACGGTGGACAGACAGAACATCCGATGGCGTAAACCGTGACAGGCCGATGTCAGAGGCTAAGTCACAAAGAACCATGTTCAGGTTTTCTTTTGGCGTGGAAAGCATGCCCTGAATTTCCATGTTAGGCAGGCGATGTTGTTGCTCGGCGTCATGCAGTTCTGCTTGAAGCAGGTAAATAGCGTTTGCCTGCTCCTCTACTGTGTTTTGGAGTGACTGTACTTCCGCCCCAAGGTCCTTGGTTACTTTTTTTTGCTCAGTGATTTCAGTGAGAGCCGAGTCGTACTGAGCACTCAGGAAGACAACGGAATCCTGTACCTCTTGGACGGTTGTCTGCAGCAACTCAACGGTGGGTTTTAAGGCCAACAAGGCATCGACCTCCGCCGGAAGTGTGAGAAGCGAATCAACGCTCTGTTTTAACGACAGCAGCACGTCTAGCTTTTCGTTGACGGATGTTAGCTGGGCGGAGAAAGGGTGAGGTTCATCCTGAGATGTAGCCTCCACGTTTCCAGCGCCCGTGCGGTTGTCCCTGCTGCGACAGGTCTTGCAGCGCCACTTTTCTCGTTTGGCTGCTCCCATCGTCGTAAAGGTAGCCTCGGAAATCCCGGCACATTGACCCAAGTGAGGAGAACTATTGCACTCCATGCACTTCATACATCTACCATCCGTCGGCACACACACGCCACACACGCCGCAGGCAGGAGGTGCGAACATAATGAAGAACGGGATACCCAGTTGACAAGAGACAGCGAAGAGGAAGAAGATGCAAAGGTTGGAATATGAAAGTACGGGCTCACCGGAAGAAACCTGAAGGCACACAACTACGCAAGCAGAGACCACAACACAAACATTGATGAAGGCGCCGATGATGATGCGTAGAAGTCTGGTTGAAGATGAATTTAGCGGAGAGGCGTATGTGCTTTAGTCCGCAAGTGGTCTTGCCAGGATGAGACCGACCATCGGCAGAATAACGGTGGACTTGCAGTCGACTGAGTATTCGCCCCAGACGATCTCCCCACCTGGTGTAGATGGAAGACTGTCGCCAGGAGCCTCAATTCAAATAATAATAATAATAATAATAATAATAATAATAATAATAGTAATAATAAACTAGCCAAATGGCGCTGCTACAAAAAATAAGGCAACTGGCTCGCATAATAGTCAGAACTCCTTTTCATAACAAGAATAAAGGAAGTGAAAGAAAAACCAAACAAAAATGTTTCGAATTTTAAATTTAATACACTGAAAGTGTGTGCTTAACCCAGTAGGCTTTCGAGCTGTTGGTTAGCACAAGAGAAAAATAAACATTGAAACATTGAAACATTGAATCCTTCACGTCACACTAGAAATGAACGAATAAATTTCAATACTGAAAAATGATTCCAGTTGAACGTCGTTGACGACGGGTAACACTCAAAGAAAAGTAATGTCAATCCTTTTTATGTTAATTTATTATTGTAATTATTTTCGTGCTAGTAGTTGTAATTTTAATTGACTACTTGTAGAACAAAGTGATTATAATTTTGTTTTACATTTCCGAAGTAATTTACTTAGTGCGCCCCGAAACAGTCAATATCGGGTGTGACTTTGCCACCGCAATTCTTATTATGAGGGAAAGTATTATTGCAGGATATTCCAACTTTCAACGAGTACTGCATGATCCGAAGAGGGTAAGCAAACTTACCTTGAAACAGATACTGAGTTGGAATGCGTTGAAACTTTCAAAAACATGTTTATGTATAATAGAAGGGAGCTGTGTGGTCAGGAGTTTTTTTCTGTAATAAGTGATGACTTGGCCATTGCTACTACAACTTCCCAAAATTGCTTCAAAGTGTCAAAAATTTATGAAACCTATTACGTTTTGGCGACCACCCGCGACTTCCAAAGGCGATTTCGCAGTTTAGGTCGATTAGCCATCTCTGCGTGCTTACTCTAAGTTGAAATGAAAGACTCGTGGTTCCGAAAACATCCTGCATGACAGTCAACTCTAACTTGAATGGAATTGAAAGTGTCTCCGTGAGCGATTCCATCTTGTGTCTTTTTAATAATGCCTAAAAAAAGAGAACATAGTTAACATTTTTACTTGTTAGCAAGTTTTTAATTTAGAGAAATATATTTAAAACTACGGTATTTTATAAACATTTTAGACGAATCTTTGCTTTTAGGTTTTTGTCAAATACTAAAATACAGAAAGTATCACCAGGTTTGCATCGTTATGTTATAATTTTGAACATAATTACTTAAAATTCTAAGTATTAATTAGCCCCACCCCGCATTCCTCATGTGGGGCCCACGTCGGCCCCACGTGATCTGCCAAGCTCGCGTTATTGACATTGCTACAAGACAGAATTAGGCACAGATTCGACGTTTGGAAAGTGATCCATCTTTTGTGGCACCGGTTCCGATTCCCACGCTCGTGCCTGGCGTCAATATTGGGAATGGGTGAAGAGATGAACTCATACGGAAGATAGAACGAAAAAGAAGCGTCTCTACTGCCTATGCTTTTTGCTTGAACGGATTCATACGAGGCAGCTGGGAAAAGGGGCAGCAGCTGGCAACGATCGCTTCGCCAAGAATGCGAAGATTTCCAAAGTCTACATTCGAGAGAATCAGGCAAGTTAGAACGAAGCCAAAAAATGACGATTGCAATTTTTATTTTAGATTTAATTATAGATTATTCAGAGCTTACTTTATAAAAAGTTCGACTAGGTCATGTTTTTTTTTTTTGTTTTTTTTTTTTGTTTTTTGGGACTCTATTGTCCCTGCTCCTTCAGCTTACTGGTAACGTGGCACAAATTTTGTGCTTTTTCTGTCTTTACTGACATCGTTGTAAGAGTAATTTTTGTTCGTTGCCTGTTTGCCTAACTTGGTTTTGACGGAAGAAACATTTGGTGACTTTAATCCACAGCTGCCGAGTACTGACCAGGTGCCCTTACGTTCTTTCATGGTGAATCGTTTCACATCAATTGCTTGGGGTCCGCTTTGTTCAGTGTATGTAGGATTATGCTGTTCTATATTTCTGAGAAAGAGTAATACAAACATATATTTATAGTGCGAGCGAGTGACATATTACATTTTACATTATAACATAATGACCAAATTATTAAAATCATAGCCTAAAAGCGCAGAGTAAAATATTTGTGTTATGGTCGGAGCCAGGATCTTTTTTGTTTAAATTTCCTATTCATGTTTTTAAATATGCGACGATTTCCAATGCAAAATGGGCAGTTTTTCAACACTGCTGCTTATTTCCGTTTGCGTTTTGATTATTCGCGATGTCCCTTTGTCATAAAATATGGCTCTGTCAGGCGAGCCATAAATTTACGGTGTAACGATTTTTCTGCTTTGCGTAAATACCCCTTATCACAAATTCCTGACGTTGATAACCTATGAAACACGCGTTAATTCTCCTCGTTGAATGGTAGTCGCAAAAATAGGTAGAGTCGCAAAAGAACAAATTTCCACAACTTGGCATTCAACTTGCGATAAAGATAAGAATCCCTGGAGAAGGGGAACAAAGGGCAAGCAAAAATCTCCAAGCAAAGTCAGATGACTGGTGCTCGACTGAAAAATTCCGCCTGGTCCTGGTATCAAACCAGGGACTTTTCATTTCTAATAGAGCGCTCTACCAACTAAGCTAACCCTGAGGTAGACGTCAGTAGAGTAGAGGGTTTCAACAGCTGCCACCAGTCTAAAACCACCAAGGGTGAACGGCTTGAAGGTTATGATGATAATGCAATTAATGTAAAGGTGCGAGTGAGCTGGGCAAGAATAACGATAATAATCCCTGGAGAAAGCCAAAGGAGTCACCAAGATTCCACGCTCTGAGTTGGTGGCAGGCCAGACTTCTACAAAACTCTCTGAAGGTATGGTGCTAAGCCGTTTCTGAGGAAGATAGTGCGGCGGTCCGGTTACTGGGGAGTCCCTGGAAGACCTAGAAAGAAACAAGTGAACGGTAGCAGGGACGTGGTGCTGTTGGGGGATGCTCCGGCGCCGGCAGGATTGCTGCAAGTCCTGGAAAAGGGTTTCAAGTTTGCCAGAAGTGACGGTGAATCCTCAGGAGTTCTCTCTTTAGTTAGGAATGTGGCTGCCAGGGCTGACGAAGCTGACAGAGATAGATGTATTTCAGAGGGTGTAGAGGCCTTGCCGGGCGTGTTGGGATGTCGCAAACCTAGGCCCAAGATTGGTGTAATTTTTTCCTTTTGCGTAGATGAAGCTTTTAAGTTAAAACTAATTTATAAGGAAGGTGGGTTCCCCCTCGTGCCCGTAGGAGTGTTTTGGATAAGGCTGTTCAGGCCATTAGTAAAAATAAAAAAATAAAACAGATTGAAAAAGTGATCGTGAGTAAATTAAGGCAAAGGGCTGTGCAGTTGTGTCAGGATTTGTGTCTTGAGAGGCTAACCGCCGAATTAACAAAGCTCACTCCAATTGGGGCGCCCCTCCACTTCCTCGAGGAAGGCGCGAGGGCCGGCACTGACCAATCGCGACGACGGATAGGCGGCCGCGATTGGCCAGCACGGCCCTCGCATATTCCTCGGGGAAGTGGAGAGGCGCCTTAATTGAAGTCAGGTTTGTGAATTCGGAGGTTAGAGTGTCAATACAAAAAGAAAATGGTCTCCGCCTCAAAGTTTTTTTTTACTCTTAAGCCGCACAAGGACTGCATGCCGCTTCGGGCGATCGTCCCCCAGAAAGGTTCTAGGAACGTGCACATGGCGTCCTTTCTGAATAAGAACCTTTTGCTCCTCCTTTCCGGGTTCGCAGTTCAGCGAGCGTTGTCGATTTTCTGAGGGAGGGGCACCCGGGCACGTGAGTTTTGACTCCGAGGGTTTGTTATATTCTACACGTCAACAGAGATGATCGTCGCGGTAAAGGGGTGCATTGAAGCTTACGGGACAGTTTCGTTTCAAAATGCCTGTGGAGTGAGCGTTGACAATTTTTAGAGGTGATGTGTTTTTATTTCAAGCCAACGTACGTTGTCTACGATGGTTCCCAGTTTTTTCAGAAGCAGAGAGCTTGTATTGGGTCTAGCGTTACCCCTGTGCTGAGCGACATTTTTCCTTCAAGTTGCAATAGAGGCATTGTAAGTGGTATTGGAGGTGCTGTGATTCGGGTGTTAGGTACGCCGATGATTACCTAATGCATTTCTGGAACAAAGGTTCTGTTCAAAGTAGAGGATTTTTTTTTTATTGGGAGTATATTAGACCTGTTTAAATCGCATGCCTGTGGGTTGAACACCACGAGAGAAGACCCAGTGGATCGTTGTTTACAGTGCATAGACGTCAAACTTCACTTTTGGCTAGACATGTTTGTTGGGGCTTTAATCGTAGGTGCAAAAAAACTGTTCTCCCTTTTGACTCCAG